CCTAGTCAAAAGCTGGGTTGGGCTGTGGCCCATCCAAATATAGGGCTAGCACAGACCTAATCCAGTCTTGGGCGACTTCAGTGTAGGACTTGCTCTGGCATAAGCAATCACACTGCTTAGGCATCAATGCAGCTCAACCTGTTCAGAGAAGTGTTCTGTTACACGTTGAAGGAGTTAGAAGAATAGGGGTAAACTGAAAAGGATTTGGGTGGCAATAGTATAAAATAATTTAAATGCACAGAATGCCAAAACAATATTCGTACATGTAGCTTAATCTCCGTATAGTTGGGACAAGGGTTAGATGATGATGGTAAAGAAGAATTATAAGATGGGTTTATTAATGATCTATCAAACTCTTCATTAATGTAATAACAATTTAATGCGTCTCGTAATGGATTTTTAGTAGATTGGAACCTCAAACATTGTTTGATGTATTATTAGTAAAATTATTGTATGGTATCTACATGTTCAAATTCCTGGTATTGTTGATTATAATTTATCTCTTTTCTAAACTATTAAATTATGCATTTCTTATGTGTTTATATATTTTGTTCATAGTTATTTCGACCTTAGGTTAGTGCTATTGATGTATGTATGAGATATATTAGAGTTTCTCCAACTTATCTAAGTATATCCATGTCCTTCCACCATATCTATGTGTATCCAAAACAAATTGTGATATGTATTTAAATTCAACCTTACCGATACAATATGCCAATATTTTGTACTTTGAACCTCACTCAAACACAAGGGCTCTAATTAGATCAATGCATTGGGAAAAGGACAATACATATATACTCCTATTTTCTTTTTTCTATTTTGTTATTTACTCAGTTGTTTTGATGAAAATGCTTATGGTTGATGGAAACCTTTTTTTATTTATTTTTTCTAATCTATGGCCATTTGATAACAGTTGAAGGGATGAACTGAATGATATGTTAGTTTCTCGTGGATGGGTAGTAACCAATGTTCAGAAAATTGGACCGGGCATTGACCTAGAAAAGGGAGAGGTTCACGGGTCAGAAGGTTAAATTGGGGTCCAATCGGAGTTCGAACTGTGATGATGCATGTATACATGTATGTATATATATACACATATACATATATGTATGCATTTATGTATGTATATGTGTGTATATAATTTATATATAATATATAATATATTATAAATTATATATTAGATTATAATATATTCAAAATATATAATTATATGCCCAATTATATTAATTATATGAATATATTCAAAACATATAATTGCATTCTTCTATAACATATATTTTTTATTTTAGTTTTATTTTTTATATTAAAAATTAAGATTTAAAGCAAAAAAAAAGTGTTTTTAGCAAAAATAGTGGGACAAGGCGCCTTTTGCACATTAGGAACATGTAGATCTTGAAAAATTACCCAAAATAAATAAAAAAAAAAGATCACCCTAATCGAACATCCAAGCACAAAGTTATGACCTCTAGAAATTTATATTTATGTGCTAAAAAAAATTCCAAAAACCGGTTGGTTTTTAAAATTGGGACTGAGTCACCGGTTATCTGGTTCAACCATTTGAGTCACCAATTTTGACCGGCTTTTTACACATTACAATTTTGGGGGTATGACTACCTGTCACAAGGCTCGGTCATGGTTCAACCGGCCCAACCAACCAATTCGGTTTTTCAGAACACTGGTAGTAACTATGCATGAGAATTCAGAAATTCATCTACAAAACCTAATCACAAGGGTGCAGATTCAACTTCCACCGTTGACAGCATTTTCTGACCTTGTAGGTGTCGGCTTCTATAATCTCTCGGAAGGGGGCTCTGTATTTTGTCACACCAGTGACAAAACACATGGAACCACAATGAAAAGAAAAATGATTGTGGGTCCAATGTATTTTGTTATAGGCGTGGAGAACTATCAATGGTTCCTTATAGTGTTTAATCAATCGTTTCTCCTTTTTTTTAAGTCAGGCAACGGTAGAGTGTATTGGTATGTATCGTTACTTTTTTTTTAGGTTTTATTTATTTATTTATTTTTCTGAAACTAGTTCTGAGGGTCGGTAATTAGTTTAAAGCCCGACTACACTCTGAACTAGTGTCTGATCCGATACAATCGCAAGAAGGATGTATCAGAAAGTCATCAACACAATACATATCGATACTTTGAACCTTAAAATCAAGTTATGAACTTGAAGTTAAATACGTAACTTTTACATAACCAAGGCCATTTTATCATCGATGCCTACACCTATGACTGTGTATGACTGTGTATGGTGGGCAAAGGAAATTGGCCTTCTGCAAAGAAGCTGAGGAAAAGACATGGATTGTCATAGAAAATCCATGGTGCCCATTTCATGATGTCATAAGGGGCACTTCTATTGCCATAAATGATGGAGAAAGGATTCTAGTTTGTGACTTTGGTGATCAACCTCCACAAGACAATGGTGTCGCCCTCCAAAGATGATGGGTTTCGACAAGAATTATCTGGTCTACTCATCATCGGTGGAGTGATGGAAGGTGGCAGGTACTTGTAATCGCGTATTACGAGGGTTCCGACGAAGTGCTTCATAAGACATTTCGGTTCAATGTTTACATGTTGGATTTTACCGGGTTGAAGTGGATTGGGGTGCGGAACCTGGGTGATCATATGTTGTTTTTGGGTCACAATACCTTACTGTCTCTAAGTTCATTTGATTTTCCAAGATAGAGAGAGAACTGTAACTACTTGGCAGATGATAATTTTGAGTTCCCCGAGGAAGGTTCGTATTATGCCATTTGTTTTCAGTATTGTATTCAGATGTTTGTTCCCGTTTGGGTTATACTAATTAAGTTCTTGATAATAATTATTGTGAAGCAGTTTCATAAGCAAAATTTTAGTCCTTGTTTGGTGGTATTTCGTATTTTATACTTTTAAGAGTATTAAAGCATAAAATACATGGTAGCCCCGTTTAGATAGATTTCTATAAAATACTTTCATACTTTTGAAAGTACAAAAGTGCGAAAAACACAATATAACTTTAATATTATATACTTTATACTTTTTGCTTTCACTTTTTAAAGTACAAAATACACGGCCACCCCATTTGGATAGATTTTTATAAAGTACTTTCATACTTTTGAAAGTACAAAAGTGCAAAAAACAAAATATGACAATTGTATTATATACTTTATGCTTTTTGCTTTCATACTTTTTAAAGCATGAAAAGCCCCAAAAGCACAAAATCGGCTTTTTATACTTCGTGCTTTTGGTGAAATAGTGCTTTGTTGACCACCATTCGATAAAACTCTTGACCCTACCCTTGCTCACCATTGCTAGAATTGGATTGCCACCACCGGTCTTAGACCACAAAACCACTTGAAGCTGTCACCGGAAGTACAAACGAACATTCTTTTGCCAAATAGAAAATGGTACTTCTATTTTGGAAAGCATATTTTTCAAAATTTTTTTACTCAAACAATTTTCAAAACAAAAATGCCAAGGTAAAAGTATTTTATGTACTTTATACTTTGGTATTTTTAAAGTACAAAAGTAGAAGGTGTTGTTTGGATAGACTTCTACTTTTGTACTTTTTAAAAAATTGAAGTATAAAGTACATAAAATACTTTTTACTTTGGTATGTTTGCTTTGAAAACCGTTTGGGTAAAAAATTTTGAAAGGTATGTTTTCCAAAACAGAAGTACCATTTTCTTTTTGGCAAAAGCATGCTCATTTGTACTTCCAATGACAGTTTCAAGTGATTTTGTGGTCTAAGACCGGTGATGGCAATCTAGTTCTAGCAATGATGATCAAGGGTAGGGTCAAAAGTTTTATCGAAGGGTGGTCACACACGACCACCTATTTGCATGAAAACGAAAGCACAATTTCGTCAAAAGCATGAAGTATAAAAAGCTAACTTCGTGCTTTTGGGGTTTTTCATAATTTTAAAAGTATGAAAGCAAAAAGTATAAAGTACATGATACAAATGCCATATTGTGTTTGTCATACTTTATACTTTAAAAAATATGAAAGCATTTTATAAAAGTCAAATCTATCCAAAAGTATAAAAGTAAATGTTGATACTTTTACTTTGAAAACTATTTCAATGAAAATTTTCAAAGCAAAAGCAAATATTAGTGTTTGGATACAACAAAATGTTGTGTATATGCCACATGGTACACATGTGTCAACAACATGTGAATGCCACACGACATCATATTTGGGTGCCATATGCCATCTTAATATAGGGTGAATGACATGTGAATGCCACCTGACATTTAAAAGTAAGTTAATGATATTATGACAGAATAGATGGATGCCACATGAAATACACTTGTTATTAATTATGTTTAAATGCCACCACGTGACATCCATATATGCTTCTGCGTGTTAGAATTTACAAGTATCATACATGTGGTTGATTCACACGTTTTAAAAAATATAAAACATGTCAAATGGCTAAAAAGCAAGACATATCAAAAGCTAATTTCATGATTTTCGTGTTTTTTACTTTAAAAAATACATCAAACAAATACAATCTTGTACTATTCATACTTCGAAAAGTACATCCAAACAGGGCCTTACTTTCTTGCTCGTGCCTTCGTAGAGTGTAAATATGTAATACCGTGTATGGATCGTCTCGATTTTATTTTTACAATCAAGCTGAACTCAGCCTTGTTAATCTCAATGATTTGCGGATGTAGTCGATCAACCAATACATTCATCAGAAGCCATTAGGTTGGAATCTACTCTTGAAAGATGTTTGTGGTTGCAAAGTATCTTCAAGAACTACTGAACTAAGACTAAGGATGTTTGAGTCACCGGCTCATCTGATGCGAGAAACGTAGAGCTGGCCTAGACATCATCATGCTTAGGGAATTAACCCTTACTAGTTTTCCCTCTAACTAAACTATCGCTATTTGAAGACTAATAACTAGAGCCTAGAGGTAACAAAATTCACACATTGTTCAAGCCACCCGGGAAGCCTATGCCACCATGAAACAAAAGAAGTTTTAGCCCATCGAACTACAATATGGGTAGAAACATCCTATATGTAATTTTACTTAATCGAGGATACAAAGTACGCTAATACATTTGGACATCTTTTTCATGTGAAAAAAACTAAAAGGAATATTAAGCAATACCATCACATCAAGAGAATTTTGCATATTCGTGGTAAAGGGATTTACATAAGATCGGTGCCTTACCGCATCAAGACAGGGATTGATAGAGCATGTCTTGGCTTGGACGGGTACTGTTATACAATACTAGTGTCACATTGTCTCAGAATTGGTTGTCAATACCAGGTCTTCATCATCATGTTTTCAACTGGTGGTTGTATACGTTCCACAACCGCATTGTGGTGCAACCATTCCATGGGATGTCCATGTGACGCATCTGACCCAGATGATACCTGGAGAACTGTAGAACATTCAGGAACTACAGTGGCTACATGAACAAGAAACTGCAATTCCAGCAACCAATATGGAAGACTTATAATATCTTATTACACTAATAAATGAAACCTCAAAAAGGAAAGTATACTTACTCAAACTTGAGACTCAGATTTTCGGTGAACCAAGGAAACAATAACAGTAACATCGTCAAGCTTGCCACCAATGTATCCTGTGTAGCCAGCTGCCTGGGCTGCATCGGCAAACGGACTTCGTGCTGATTCTGACCTCCCCACCTCTTGTGCTCTCATAGCTAAGAACTCTGCCATTTCCTGAAAAAACGCCAAATAAAAGCGATTAAAAGATGATAGAAAAATAATACCAAAAAAATGAAAGAAAATGGCAACATTAAAGGAATTAGCAGAATCCTGTGATTGGGAAATATTTGTGTAACAAATCGGTTAGCTTGAGGAAAACTAAGGTTCATGCCCTTGGTGCCCTTGGTCAAAGATCAACCTGAATGGCCATCCAGTCCCCCCCCCCAAAACAATTATTATCCAATTACATTGAGTACAGAGTTCCTAAATGTAAGGCTTAGTTAAGCTGAGTACCTGTGCAAAAGTGTTTGCTAAATTGGCTCATAGAGCACATTCTTATATTGGCTATTGGACGTTTCCTGATTATTAACTTCCATTATGAAATCACTCAGAAAGTGTCACATAGACAAACCAATACAAGTGTTTAAGACCTTAGGTTTCAAGCTGGCCTTCAGTGACTTGGAGACAATTGACGCTATTTCCTGTTCATATAAATTGTCGAAAAGGCCATCTGTTGCAGTAACGATTACATCCCCCTCATCCAAATCAATTGTGTAAGCCTGAAACAAGAAGCAAAACAAGAAATTAAAATATATACCATGCCATTATATCCAGATATGAAAAATGAGTAATTAATCTGAGTGGCTTAGAACAATTTCTTGTGGCATTATGAATGATCAGCTAGTTCTGTGCCACTACTTACCTTCAAGGCCCTTCACCAAAAAAAAAAGAGAAAAACTTTAAAGGCCAGCGGAAGTGACAACCTAAGACAACATTACCTCTATCAGTTCTGAGGGATCATCTCCTCTTTCAATTTGAAATGGAAAATTGAACTCATGAACCATTGCAGAGGACCTTTTGAAAATGGTACCATTTCTTATTATGATGAATCCAGAGTCCCCAATATTTGCCACATGGAAAGCCTGTTGGAAATTCTGATAGCAGTTAAAATGATCCTTGCCATAGAAGAGCTATGGAAACAATATCTGCAACCTTTTCTAATAGCAGTTAGAATGATAATTTCCACAAAGCAACTCCCACACAAATAAGTGCTATGTTTTAATCATGAAAATTAAGTACTAGAAATGATGGAAGAAACCCCAGTGAGGTTTCTATTCTACTGATTGACATGGTCAGCCACAGGAAACTGCATCATCACCCTAGCAATAAGAACTTTCTTCATGTAAGTTTATATAACAGATGTTTCAGAAAGCATGTCACCATGTCACATGGATGTAGACAAACATACTGGAACTCCTAAAATATCATCTTTTTTTTAACATCCTCCATAAGGTGGAAACCAATATTACAAGCTAAAGACAAGCCAGGCATTGAGTGCTCTCATGAGTAACAGATAAGAACCGCACATGATGCAACATCACCTGTTTGTTAAATGAAGAACAATGTAGAAGGCTAGAAGGTGTTAAAGACAAGAAAATCAGCAGAAGGCCTTAATTGCTCCTAAACTCTTCATCTCATTTACTTTGTTCTATTAAGCAATTCTAAGTTAAGAGGTTCATGGTGCTCTGTTTCTAATAACAGTATGAATAATTTTTTGATAAGTGGTAATGATGTGTATATTAATCAATATAATAGAGGAAGAAAAACCCCAAATCTGTACAAAAAGATGACTGTATGGGTATTCACAGAAGACCATTCAATCTTGTCAATGATTGATTCCACTAGAACTGACTTGGCTTCAAAAATTCTTCACCCAGTAAATAGCAAGGGGGAAACAGCATGAAGATGTCATTTCTTCCACGAATGCCCACAAATTTTTTGAATTTTTCTTCTTCTGTACAACTCAAGACTTGTAGCGAGAAATCCCTCCATCCTACATCTTGTGATTTGTTACCCATCGCGGGGATTAAAGTGGTCGAGTTTGCATGCTTGTTAGAACAGTACCTAGGAAACTATAACTTTACATGTCCAAATTGCCCACTCTCCCCTCGCCCTCTCTTGATTGCTTCCTTTCCCCCCTATGTCAATTTTCTTATTACTTTTCACAAATCTATTTTCTTATGCAATTAAAAAAGGGTAGCCTAGTGCATGAGGCTCCTGCCAATGTGGGGTCTGGGGAGGGACAGATGTACACAGCCTTATCCCTGCACATACAGAGAGGCTGTTTCCAAGATTTGAACCCTGGTCAGCCAGGTCACAATGGAGTGACCCAACCATTGCATCAAGGCCCACCCTCATTTTTTTTTATGCATTTGGAAATTTACTCATAAGTCATGGAAGTATTCTCTTTACAAGGAAAGATTATATGATTTATAGTTGGAGTTTAGGAGAGGATTAATGGAAGATTATGAATTGGGTTTCCCAGATACTTTCTTGATGCACATGCTCAGAAGAAGGATGAGAGTAATTAAAAAAAAAAAAACAAAACAAAAAATATTACAAATAACATGGTTACTCTCAGTTTGAATGAGACCATCATTTAGGAAGAAATTACCTGACCATCAAAGCAAGCAACCAATGCTGTAGATGAGCCAGGAGACTCTGCTTCTGCAGCACTTTGGATAAGAATTTTGTCTGGCTTTGTTAATTGAACTCCTTGATATTCTGAAACTATCTTTGCACAGTTCTCCATTAGCTCTTGAGCATACAACCCTGCATTTATTCCTGATAAAAAAGAATAGATCAGATATGTACAAAGATGGGAATTGGTAGCATATGAATCGACTCTAGAAAGTATCCATCATGATGCATGTATGAAGAAAAGAATCTTGAGCTTTGGATAAATGAGGCTGTGGCATGGTTGTCCTAAGCAAGGTTCAAAGTAGCGATACGATATGCTGGGGCGTATCGTATCGTATCTTTTGGGGTCAAACAGGCGTTTCGGACCCCACTCTTTTTTAATAAAAAATATGTTAAAATATCTTCCCAAAAAACAAATTTTGAAAAAAAAAACTGAAAAAAAAGCCATTTCCGCTTGTATCTAAGTACCGATACGCCTCTACCGATACACAGAGGCGTACCGATACTTTGAACCATGGTGCTAACTTGTGCTTAAGTGGGAATTACCGAGAAAACCTATCAAACACATCTATAATAATCATAGAAAGGGCATAATTTATGGCACTGGGGAGTTTTGAAATTTCTTACAAATTGCCAAATGTTCAGGGTGGCGAGCAAAGTTATGGAGGTCACTTTGATATGGGACATGCCAATTAAAAGATTGGAGAAGTTGAATTGTGGAAGTATCTACCAGCAGGAGGTAAAGTAATGTGGATTAAAATCTCTCTGTAGAACATTCCTATCTATTTCTATCACTTTCATGATACTGCAAAATGTTGCAGTCTTGCAGAGAAACCAAGAAACTTCAAATAGACCATTTTATACCATATGATGGATTGGACCTGTGTTTATCCATCCACTGCACTGGTGGTTTAGGAATTAGAACAATTATAAGTATGAATTATAAAACATAAACTGATTATGAAAATCAGAGGGGAGTTAAAAAATTACAAGGCACAGGTTGGGATCTGTGAGGTGCTGGCACTTAGCAGCTATCCCACATCCATTTGTAAAGGCATAGGCACATTATGACTTCTGGAAACATGATACTTTTAGAGTTGGACAAAGTGACCATATTAATTTCTTGCAAAGATGTACGGTGGACCTTTGGCCTTTCACAATGGTTTTCCCATGTTTTTCCCTATGCAACAAACGAGGAACAGTTTACTGAAAGCTATAAATTTTTCATGTGACGAATAACTAAATCTCTGTTTTCCAGATCTTCGGTTTATTGGGAGGTTAATTATGTGCTATAGCTATTAGCTAATGACTTGTTATGAAGGTAATCCATCATTCAGTTCAAATAAGAGCATGTATGTAGACTTGGAATTGAAATGCCAAAGCATTTTCAGGTTTGATACTCTCCCTTGACTCCTTGGTGGAGACGACTCCCCAAACAACTTTATATGACAAAGTCTTGGTACTAACTAAAGTGGCATTCTTTATTTAGTGTGCCTGGACAAAATACTCATAGCAGACAACCTACCAAGGAGGAAGGTACATTAATTGCTAGATCTCATGTTAACCGCTACATTTTATGTCAAATGGTGGCAAGAATAATGGATCATTAATTGTTTCTTAATTGGTAGCATTTGAAATCAGTTTTTTGAATATTCACCATTTACTGGGTGATGTTAAGACTTTTTTTTAATAGAAAAGAGTAACTTTCATTAGCTTAAAAAACAGAAATACAACTGTCACCTACAGAGACATAAGGTGACCCCTCATCAAAAATCAAATTACAAAACAGTCCAAAACAAAGACTCCTGATTTACTCCTTGCTTTGCTAGATTGTCAGGTAAAGGATTTGCTGACCTCCTAGTCCATTTAACATGTGCACCCAGCTCCCTTGTGAGGCTCAATACTTCCCTTACATGTTGTTTAAGAGACCACGTTCCCAAGCTATTTGTTTGCAGCCAGCCTACTACTAATTTTGAGTCTCCCTCCACTTCTAACTGTCGAATGCCCAATTGCTTGGCCAATCTGAGCCCCTGGAGGAGGGCCATTAGTTCTGCTCTAAGCGAGCCCCTGGGTGATATTAAGAATCTTTAATGACTTGATTTCCAGTTTTATAAGCCCAATAGTTTGTCCAATGAAGCGGGATGATATGGAGATCACTTTCATTTGCCAACTTCCATTACTTGAAATGTATGGAAAAGAGAAAAAGAAGCAGGGGAAAAGCAAAGTGGAGAGCTTAACATGCCCTCAACCATTAGAAATCTGCTTTGGTGGGGTTTAAAGATTTGATACATCATCATTTTTATGGGATTGGGATGAACTGGCATATAATTATTTATGGTCTTGCATATATTTTTAACTGTCTTGAATTTTTTGTTATTTAATTATAGACCTTTTCTTATTTAGCATCAGTAATCAGCACTAGTTTTCAACTAAAATTCTTATTTTTTGTTTTTTTGCCATAAGCTGACACTGTAACATCAATAAACCAAATTCTAGATCTTAAACTTGGGTCCAATTCTTTGATATCACATTCTAAAGGTAATCTTTATGGCCATCATTAGTCCTGCAAAACTCCAATAGAGGTGGGTAAAGGGCTGACAAAGTGGACGCATGGCCGACACAGAGGGACCTCTATCTGATGAATTGTCTGTAATTGCCATGGGCTTCCTCCCTTAGGCAGAAATGGATGGGATGCAGAGATATGTGGACACTATTTGGTACTCAAATTTGCCTCAAGTTTGGGTATTCTTTTTGTGTTCTGTGATTATTTATGCACATATATGTATTTTATAATGACAATACAAAGACATAAATATATCATCAGTTAAATGTGTTCTGTGAATATTTATGCACATGTATGTATTTTATAATGACAATACAAAGACATAAATATATCATCAGTTAAACTACTAGTACTTTGGTATAAGCTTCAGAAGTTCTTCAACCATTTACTTTTTACATTTTTTTCAATTGTTTACCCCATGTTCTTCAACCATATGAAAGTTGAAATATGCATGGCACCAGGGGTTCATCAATATCCAAATTCCAGAGAAATAGGAAGCGAAATGATAGTTATGAATAAGTGGGATGACCATTTCCCAGTAGGTCATTTATTCTCAGTTTACATCTACAAAAATATCCAGTAGATTAAAAATCAGTTAAGCAGCTTCTGTTAGTTTCTGCTCAGACATTATTGACATTCTAGTTGAAACTCAAGAGTAAGCGACAAACTGAGTTCAAAAGGACCTAAAAAGGAAATAGAACAGAATGAAATGGTTAATACCATCATCAATATTTAGTTTTTATACATGCAGACAGTGAAGGCACATAATCCACCCAAGTTACAGATCCATTTTTGAAGTACATCATGTTATAGCCTAAAGGAGTTTCTAGGGCCATGCTTAGATAAGTCTGATCTGTTTAACTGGTGAAATTTAATGATCGAGTGAACATCAGAAAGGCTATGTTCTTTGTCACATAAATCATGATTTTTCCTACTTGACAAGAGTTGAACAAAGGAAATGGTAATGTTTAACACGTAGCAATACATCATTTTATTTATGAAGGAATACCTTCAAATGACCACTGGCCAACTCCATCAGCTACACCTAACCAGTTTTGACCTGTGACGAAAAAAGCATCCTCTCCACCTGTCAATGCCTGGCATTATTATTCTATGAATTATTGATGCTGAATTCTTTCATACCAAGGAAAAAAACTAGGTTTTAGGGCATCATATGTGAAGTTGTGAATCAAATATCTAGACTTTTTATCTAAAAGCAGTAGGATATATACTTAAGACAATGCCAGAAGACCAATGACAAAATAGAAAATTTTAAAACTAATCTACAGAACAGCATTAAGCAGACATGATTTCTTTATGAAAGCAAATACGTATTAACATAACAAAGAATTGACCAAAAGTTTACTCAGATATAATACATTTTGTTAAGATTGATCCTTTGAATAGTTATCATGGAGAAAGATACAACATTCTGGAGTGAAGTATATTAGCATGTCTGAGTTGCCAAAACAGAGAAAGAGAAAAATATGAATTTAAACTGCCTCCTCTTCTCAAACTTTCCCAATATAATGCTTGGATCCTATCTATCATAGATTATATGCTCCTTCCAACTTAGCATCACAGACCAGTATGAGTTGTGTTATTCCACAGAGTAATCTTGATTCTGATACTCCTTTAGCATCACAAGTTGGGCTAATTGAACCACCCAAACAAGCACAAATGCAGAAGTACCCTTTGAATGTTCTAAAGAATAATAAAATCTGATAAATTGGACAAAATATCTGGCTTAAGTAGATTCCATGAGATCAGATTCTGTGCAAACATAAAAGATCATGGTTTCTTATCTCCATTGCCAGCCTGGTACAGGCAGACTGCCAGAACCAGTTATAGAGCCCAAGCCCAGGTCAGCCTCGTACAGGAACGGAAGATCAAGGTACTAGCCAAGTCATCCAGTCCAGGGTTCAAGCCTCCAATTCATTAGGTTTATACCAGGAAGCCAAGGGAACCACAGGCCCAGACCCAGTAACGATTCATGCTGTTGTCATGATCCCATAGAAGGCAATATATAGATGGATGTAATCAGTCTTGGGGAATAAGAACTTACTACTTGAGTTCCCTCCCTAATTCTCTCTTCTTCCTTCCCTTCCCATCTTCTCTCCCCACCATTGTAAGTTTGTAACTCCATTTCAGGAGGTTGAGGCTCCCTCGAAGTAGCTCATATCTTTCTAACTGAAATGAGCCTTATCACCTGGAAACTGGAGGCCATTTTGGTTTTTTAATGACCAATCAAACTTGTCAAAATCCAGTGGAACTGTTGAAAACCAGCCAGTTTTCACAACCTGCCTGGGTCACCAAATTGTTATAACGTTCAAATACTAATAAGAAGATTTAAACTTGAAACTTCTTAGTCATCCATATTAACATGCTACCATTAGTCCAAAACGTGTATTAACTTGAAACTTCTTAATCATGTGTACACATCTTAAGTAAATACGTATATATTTTGAATAAAATGCAAATGGCAGGACTTGAACCCTGTGCAGTTGTATCAAAAACCTGCACTTTAACCAAGCTGCTTCTTAGAAACGTGAAATAACTCACAAAATGTACTATTTATTTTATTTTTATGGCTCGTGGTCGAACCATTCGACCTGGAGTCGGACCGTTCAGCCCCGGTAACTGGAGGTCATTCCAGTTCTGTGTCCAATCCAAGCCTTACAACATTGAATTCAATGCACAAATTCTTTACCAGAAAAAAAAAAAAAAATCTATGCACAAATTTCTCTGAAACTTAGCCAAAATACTGGAAATTATTTATTATAATTGGCTCAAAAATTGGCTGAAATTTAGAAATGCTAAAAGTTCAAATTGGCTCATTTTAAAATTTGCAGTTAGATGTAAAGCCTTGAGAAATAAAGCAACAGATAATAGAGCTTATAACTTAATAAGCTATCTTTGTTTCTTCTATGCTTGATTTCCAAAAACAGGTAGTCAAATAGATATTTAAATTAAAGTAGGATTCTTGGATGTACCTTAGAAGGATGTGGTAACATTGCAGCACCTGAAGAGAGGAAAAGTTCTGGTGCTGAGATTTCTTCTCCCCTATTATAAACAAAACAGCAAACCATGAAGAACAGATTTGAGAGTCAAAATTACAAACATATATCCATATATCCAATAAATTGAACTGTTATAATTTTAAAATCTTAAAATAAAAGAGTAAGGAGGAGAAAAAGAATAAATCTTCTCTTTCTTCCCACTCCGGTGCAAATTAAATCCCAATATAGAATTTTGATATTTAGTTGAAAGAGAGTTAGCTTGGGTAAGAAATATACATTTCTAAGGATCTGGCAGTCCTTTTTCATTTTTTATCAATAAAATTTATTTTAACAGGAAATAGTAATTAAGGAGATAACAAAGATTCAGTTATTTACAAGGACAAAAAACAAATGGCAAATCTGTTTACAGGATGTTTAACATGTGCAGGCATCAACTTATTGGCTATGCATTGACAATTCAGTCTCTAAATAGAACCGCCAACCCGTTTACAGGATGCTTAGCATGTGCAGGTGTCAAGTTATTAGCTATGCATCAATAAATCAGTATCTAAATAAAAGTGCAGACACAATATAAAACAACATCAATTTAGTCTTTTCCTTTTGATATTCTCTCATGTGGTTACTTGGCCAGTTAAAATTCTATGATGTAATTAAGGAGCATGAAGTCATTTAGTCATGCAGACAGCTCCAAATATTTGGGCATACTGAAATGATTCAAAAGAAATAAAAGGGAAAAAGAATCATACCCATGAGGATCAGGAGTAGTTTCAACATCTTGTAACTCTACTAGTTCTGTTCCTGCCACTTCTACACCATGTTCATTTTGTAAAGCACCTTCAATAACTTCTACCTGTAAAAAGTATAAAAGTGAATGGTACTTTAGTTACTACTAGATTATAGAAATAAAAGACTATAATTCCTTAATAAACATCAATATTTTTATTTAGTTCCCATAAGGTGATAGAAAGTGTCCAAGGGTCAGCTCTATAGGGTCTTAGCCGGCTTCTGACAATGGAAAGGATAAGAGTTAAATCTACTCTGGGATGCACAAAGACATTATCTGAAAAAAGAAAAGAAAAAGATGCGGAATAGGGATTGTATGAAAAGAGAGGATATGGTCTCTTCATTTTGGGACCATTGGACCAGAACATTTTGCGATCATGTCTTCCCTGAACTTACCTTAGTTGCCTAAATCCACAATTTGCTGATAATGGTTACAGTGATATTGAGCTAAGTTATAAGGCAAAAGGCTTTCAAAAAAATAAAAATAAAAAAAGTAAAAGTAATAAGGCAGAAAGCTTATATGTCAAATATATTATCACTGCTTTCTGTGCCTGTTTTTCATGCCATCATCCATATATGTTGACCACGGAAGGACTATCTGATTGTTTTGTATTCATTGTCAAATGATTCTCAGAACCATCTATTCTAAAACAACAACCCTCGCAATGAAATGTTTAAAAATAGTAAAAGGTTCAAGAGGAAAAGAGAAGAAATCATGCTGACCATAGCTGAAGATTCAACTGTATCTTTCTCCTCAAATTCTTCCATGGTTTTGGAACCTGTTTCAACATCCAAAACATGATCGGGATTAGAAGCCAGTGGAGGCATAACTGGCATAATGCCAACCACATCATCCTCCTCACTGGGGTGACTGGTTTTTGCATCCAAAATGCGATCAAGCTCTGCAGCTGTAGACAGAGACATAACTTCAACCTTAATATTCTCTGCACCGTTTTCCTCAGAGGCATTCCCTACAGCTTCATAAGCAGGTTCAGGCTCTGAATCAAGAGGGGAACGTACATCTTCAATTATAACCTTCTCTCTAGAATCATCCTCTGAGACATTACTCATGGACTCCAGGCCAACAGAAAAGGGAGTTACATATGCCATATTCATCTCTTTAGGGTCTTCCTCAGAGGCATGACTTGTCTCTGCATCAGTAATCTGGTGGAACTGCGCAGAAGAAGGTGATCCAATACCTTCATCATTACCCTTCTCTTTAAATTCCTCCTTAAAGGCATTAGTATTTTCTGCTTCGAGAACGGAGTCAGGCTCAGTAGCAACCAACTGAGGCAAATTTTCATCCTCACTCTTCTCCTCAGAATCTTCCTTAGACACATAACTATTTCCAACTGGAAGAATTGAGTCAGGCTGTGAAGCAGTCAACTGAAGCACGGTTTGGTCCTCATTCTTCTCTTTAGAATCTTCCTCAGAGGAAATATTGTGCTCTACATAGAGAACATCACCTACATCCTCTGAAGCAGTCAATTGAAGCACAGTTTGATCCTCAGTCTTTTCTTTAGAAGAAATACTTTGCTTTATACGAAGAACCTTACCTCCATCGAGAGCAGCAGTAGGAGATGGATTCTCATCTTCGTGCATCTCTTTGGGGCCTTTCCCTTCACCGTTACCCTTCTCTTCAGAGTCTTCCGTAGTATCAGTTCTTCCTGCATCGAGAACATTATTTGGGTCCTGAGTAGTATTAGTCGTAGTAGAAAGAATCACAGTTTCATCTTTGCTTGCTTCTTCGGCTTCTGCATTTGTTTCTACATCAAAAACTGAATCTGGCATTGAAGCCTTAGAAGGAAGAAAAACTTCAACGGCGTTCTTCTCTTCAATATCTTCCTTAGAAGAATTGCTTGTTTCCACATCCAAAGAAGAGTTAGGCAATGTACTACTACCAGCCACTTCCGGTCTATCTTCTGTAAGAGCAACTACATTCTGTTCATGCGAAGTTCCAGTAAATTCCTCGGTAATGGTCTCCCTCACCGGATCTCCATTTAGAGTTCCCAGAGTTTCCAGTGTATCTGTAGTCATCTGAGTCTCTTCCTCGGTAATGGTCTCCGTCACAGGATCTCCATTTAGAGTCCCCAGAGTTTCCAGTGTATCTGTAGTCATCTGAGTCTCTTCTTCTTCACTTACACAAGTTCCACTTTCACTTTTCTCTTCAGAAAGTTCTACTTCCTCTTCAACAAGAGTAGAGAATACAGATTCATCTTCCTTCTCCACAGGAGTGGAACCTTCAATTTGCACACCTCCCACTGCAACACTCGACGATTCACCAGATACAACATCGGTTTTCGCTTCCTCTACCTTTCCAAACCGGAAAATAATGCTTCCATCGGAACGCTCTGCCGAAAGCACCAAATTCGGTGTGAATAAGCAACAAGCAACGCAAAAGCAAATCGATGTCAAAAGAAAGGCCCGATCACTTGGATGACCTTCCAAACACAGTCATTCTGAAGAATTAAAAGCAATTCAGTTAGAAAAGTAAGGTTCAGAGGCAGTAAAATGTACCAGTGGTCGAAATTACAATAAAACCAGAAGAAGTAGAGTCCGGAGAAGGCGTTGCCGATGAGGAGAGTTGGGTTGTGGACGAAGAGGGCTTTGCAGATATCTGGTGAGCTAACCTTCGCTTCGGAAATGGCGTAATGGGAGAAATCCGGAATATGCCAAACGGCTTCGGGGAGATGTTGCAGGAAATGCATGGAGCACGAAAGCAAGAAAGATTTTTTAAGGAGCGATGGTCGAGAAACCTACCTACGAAGTCCGCCATGGTTAACAGGAGAGAAGCTTTTTACAAGAAATGGATATGTAATGGACGGAGGCGGAAGATGGAGAATTCCACCATTGGTTGGTGCTGTGGTGCTATGTGTAGAGAAAATTAATAAGCGGGAGCTCCAGGATACAGAACAAGGAGAAGAGGAAACACGTAATGAAGGACTGAAGGTGGTTATATTTGACTTCACCGCGTGGAGACTGGAGAGGGGAGAACGGGGGGACTGAGAAGAGCGTCACCAGTCGCGTCTCGCCGTCTCCTCACCTCAGACTCTGAGTTGGATAAGCCATCGCCCATCGGTTTTTATTCTCAAGACGTGACTCAAGAGTGAAGACGAGCGACAAGGTGACACTTGAGTCTTGACTGGCCCGTGTCCCGTGAGCCGTGAAAACTGAAAAAGTGAAAACGCTTGTTTCGGCCACATGCGGACGGCGGACCAGGGTGAGGACGGATTCGATACTCTCAAAATTGTACTCACAACCATTTTCAATCGTGCATTATGAATATCTTCAATACTTCTATTATATTCATGGGAAATGTTCCTAATACACGGCTGAAAAGACGGAGTGATTCTAGTTGCTAATACACGGCAGGGCGTTTGGTTGTAAGGATAAGTATGTTCTCTTTGAAAGGAGTGATGCTAGTTGCTAAGCCGATCTTGGCGAGTGAGGACACGGACTAAAGATGATTTCCGAATTCTGACCGCTTGGTTTGGGCACAAAATTATCTGGAGTCCATGAATGCGTTTCCATCTTTTATTTAAATCTGATTTTTTTTTTTTTTTTTTGCTTAGCTTATCAACAGATAGATTGGGTAGACCCATCCGAGCGGCAGGGGGAGGGCTGTGAATTGTGATGCACTCTAGTTGTGCAGAAAGTTAAAAAATTTTGTAGTGTTGACGGACTGGCCTCTAATTCTATATCTGACGGTATTTGCACATTGCCATGGACGGATTAACGGACTAGCCTCTAATTCCTTAATATGTGTTTGGCTTCGTTTATGCTTATTGAGTAAACTGTCATATAGGCGTTTTATCAGCAAAGGTCTCATTAATTACATTCGTATATATCGATGTTTGTAAATTTATGTGTCTCTCCCATTTCAGGAAGTTTTATTTTGGAATTTCCTGGATAGGCGTTTATGAGCACTTTGCTGATGTGGTGCCTAATGGCGCCTATGTGTTATAAACACATTCATTAATTGCTTTTCTCGGTTTTACAACCACACAATTACAAAATATTTACTCAATAAAACATAAATGGAACCAAACACCCTTTTAATGGCTTTAACAAGAGTTAGATTTATGTGTGTTTTGTTTTATGAGTGTTTCATAATAGGTAGTTATCAAAACACAATCATGTCATCGCCAAATCAGTAATTTTTTTATCATGATCAACTATATATATTACTATTAGGGGAATCTTCATTTTAACGCTTCCCCCAACAATTGAGTATTTATTCATTATTCCGTTGATGTGATGCCTAATGGTGCCTAATGGCGCCTAGTTGTCAATAAACGGTTTATCGAGTATTTTTCTCGATTTAAAAAAAAAATCAAGTACAAACGTTTATTTAATAAATGGAAGTTATACCAATATATTTATTGAATAAACGTTTGTACTTTATTTGTTAATAAAACCGAGAAATGCAATAATTGCAACCGTTTATGACAACTAGGCGCCACTTCAGCATAACAGTGAATAAACGCCTAGCCGTTTGTGGAAGCTTCAAAAAATAACGTTTACAAACGGCTGGCATGCACATAAACCAAAGTTCACGTTTTACATTTTCGATATATGCAGAAGAGCAAGAGAGAGAAAATGTTGAGATGGCACCTATGTGGCACTATCAATAAACGTAAATGGAACCAAACATCCGCATACTTAGTATATGTTTGGTTTTGTGGGTGTTTATTGAAAAAACTATGTGGTGTTGATGTTTATTGCATATGAAACCATTGTTTAATTTCACCGTTTATCGAATAAACACTAGAAAATGAAACACTTTCATTTATGTACATCTGAGAATTTGGGAAAATGTCAAATTCATCTTTCCCCCAATGCCTAGGCATTTTTTGAAATGAAATACTGATATGGGGCACTTTATCTGAGCTGAAAAGTAACTTTATGGGGTGTTACTTAAAACACCCATATTACGTCCAACCAAATAGAAAAAATAAAAGCATTAAAAATAGTGTTTTTCAGTTAAATGTTTATCTAAAAAAATGCCTCTCGAAATTAAAAAGCCAAATTATAGAAAATTTTGGCCTTTTAAGAAAAATTTAACCAGCACATAATGTCATGTGATGTTGACCAAGTTAATCAGTGCTCCTCACAGCACGTCACAGCCACACGAAACCGAATTCAATCGGTGCAGAACCGTTGTAACAGTTATTATAGCCTTGTATTGAGAATATCTTCCCTTAAAATAACGCACAGGAGTACAGAAATGTTCTCCATGCAAGGCTGTAAAGGCGGTTCGAACACCATTCGAACAGGCCTTCCACCGAATGAAGCCGATCTTCAGCCGCGGTGCGAGGGCGCTCTGTAACTGTAACAAACATAAAGTCTCATATATAGCCTTCCACAGCTCCAAGTAACAAACAAAAAATCCAGCCACTACAAAATTCTAGAATAAATAAGGATAACAGTCCCAAATGACCCTTGTTTGCCGATATAAATCAAAACTTATTTCAATTTCAAAATATTAAAATCCAAATCAGGGCAATCAGAAAACGTCACAGCCGCACATTGGTATGGTGGGTTCTACATGAGCGGTCTGTGAGGTCCGTGTCAGGTGCGCTACGTGAGGAGAGCACAAAATCAGAGACACAGAAGTAGAGGCGAAGACGATGTCCACGTGGTTAGAGAAAACGCAGAGATGCAGAACTCGTAATCCCATTGGCCCGAAATCTATCCACGAGGGATGTTAGATTTCCCCCCGAGATTTCACAGGGCCTACACTACGCATACTTCCCAAGCGAACATTAGTGTAAGAAGCAAACAAGGTGATAGGTCGTGAAGGAGAAGGAGAAGAGTTGGGAATATGGCAATGTCTGCAACATCTGCTGCTGCAGTTCTCAACGGCTTGAGCTCACCCTTCCTTTCAGGTGGCAAGAAGAGCCAGAGCTTGCTGTCGTCGACTTGGGGCATCAGAGCCAGAGTTGGTTCTGCCTCTGCACCCCGTAAGCTAGTCCTTGCCGCTGCAGCTGTCAAGAAGTCTTGGATTCCAGCCGTTAAAGGAGGCGACAACCTCATTGATCCTGAGTGGCTCGATGGCTCGTAAGCTTTCTCTTCTCTTCCTCACGCCCCTGTTTTAGCTTTTAGCCTTTTAGGAGATCACTAAGCATCGACTTATGCTCTGCTATAGGCCTTTAATCTAAGCTTTGTTTTTAACAGATTTTCAATGATTAACTAATCCCATTTCATTTTTGGGTTTGGAATTGATTTTAAGACTAGATCCCACCAGTTGGTGGTGAACTTGGCCTGTGTAATGTAGATCGGGTTATGGGATTGTTATTGTAGTCTGAACTTGGTCACTCCCGAGCACTGGCCCACTGATGATTTAATCCCATGAGATTACGGGTTTGATCCTCCAGGCTGCCAGGAGATTACGGGTTTGATCCATTGGGACTAGGCAAGGATCCAACCTTCCTCAAGTGGTACAGAGAAGCTGAGCTTATCCATGGTCGGTGGGCAATGGCAGCTGTAGTTGGGATCTTCGTTGGCCAGTCCTGGAGTGGCATTCCATGGTTCGAAGCTGGTGCCGACCCAGGTGCAATTGCACCCTTCTCCTTTGGCTCCCTGTTGGGCACCCAACTCCTGCTCATGGGATGGGTGGAAAGCAAGAGGTGGGTCGACTTCTTCAACCCAGAGTCCCAGTCAGTTGAGTGGGCAACACCATGGTCCAGAACTGCCGAGAATTTTGCAAACGCCACAGGTGATCAAGGCTACCCAGGTGGCAAATTCTTTGACCCATTGTCATTTGCTGGCAATATTAAGGATGGTGTATACATCCCTGATGTGGAGAAGCTGGAAAGATTGAAGGTGGCAGAGATTAAGCACGCCCGGATTGCTATGCTAGCCATGCTCATTTTCTACTTTGAGGCTGGTCAAGGGAAGACACCCCTTGGAGCCCTCGGCTTCTAAACTTCTTTACTGTAACCTTTTTTTTTTTTGTAAATTTAAGCTATTATTGAAGAGGCAAGAAACCACATTTACATGAATCGCATCCCTGGTCTCCCACCAAAATTTTGTTGATGATGCCATTACCTCTTCTTCCGTATTAAATGAAGAACCGGTGAAGATGACCTATTCATGGACCAGGTAGTCCGGCGAATTTGCCCAGCCTGACCCGTTTTAATCAGGCTCAAACATATTTTGAATTTTTGAGGCCTGCGGACTTGGTCGGGCTGTAAATATTAGGCCTGATTATTTTTTCGGCCGGGTTTGGACTTTTAAGCCCACCCTGTGCTTGGGTTCATTTCGATAATATTATAAATAACAAAAAATTATATTAATAATAGATATTAGGTAATAACGTACCTTACTATTTTATTTTTTGTATTTTGTTTATTTTGACTTAAGGTGTATAATTGTAGGCTGTAATATTTTTGATGTAGAAAATATGTGATTAGATAGGAAAAACTTAAAAAAATATAAAATTAAAAGATAGAAATAAGATATTGCATAACATACAAACTTCCGTTTCTATATTATATTAGGGCATGGCTCGAACTCAAGAATGGGCCCAAAAATAAAGCGCTTCTTTGACTTTTGTCGACAGCAAATGTAGTGGCCCATTAATATATCACCATGGTCCCTGGAAGATGGGCTCCCGTCGTAAATCCCATCCCTCCTATTGCTCACTGGTATCAACTTACCAATCGCCACCTAATTCATGCAAAAAGCAAAACAAAATGTACATTAGGGCTGCAAATCGGGTTAGGTTGGGTTGAAGCCAATCCTAATTCAACCTAAAGTTTTAAATCTTAATTCAACTCGGCCTTCAATTCAACTAATCCAACCCTAACTCTAATCCTAACTAAATTCCTTCAACTCTAATCCAATCCAACCCAATCCAAACTCAATTTTGGGTTGGGTCCAATCCAACCTTCTTCCCATCCCTTAAAATCTCGTAGAATTTTTTGATTTTAGATCTTAATTCAACTCTTACTACATATATTAATCCTATATTTCATTAGTATTTGTTTGTTGATGTTTTTTTTTTTTGTTCTTTTGGTACAAAATTGAGAAAAATAAGTATCAGAAATGACTATAGTTTATTATGAATTATGACTTATGATAGATCTTTCTTAAGCGGCAAACAACATAAAGGAGATGAAGAATAAAATTTTTAAAAAACAAAATATAATGTTATTAAGGTTTAGTCTTTCTAATTAGAATTAAGTGAAGTGATTATCTTAAATGAAATACATGATACTATATGGTGGGGGCTATACAAATATCATGCATCTAAACAAATCAATGTATGTTATATATTACATATAACATATATTTATATATGACATATACTATAGAGTCGGATTCGGGTTGGGTCAGGTTAGTTAAGGGGTCAACCCTAATCTAACCCGAAGTAAAATCGAATTCATGAATTTTAATCCTAACCCTAACCGAACATCAACTCAACCCAACTTTTTTGAGTTGGATTTAGACCAACCCCGCCCAAATTGCAGCCTTAATGTACATCCACATTTTCTCCCCACCATTTATCCTTTCACCTGATTGACCTAAGCGGGTAAGCCCACATTTTTATGGGGTAGCAGGTGGGTGGGCATCTTATTACTATTAGTTCATTTCAGTTGGGGTTCGGCCTCTAAACTTTAAACCGGTTTGCAATCATTGTCATGCATCTTAACTTCATACCTCAAATTAATTAACTAAGGGCGTTTTCTTCGAGGTGAATTGTTTTTATTTTGACTTCTAAAAAAACAAATGAAAACAATCTGTTTTCTTGAAATAAAAATATGGAAATTGGAAAATATGAAATAAAAAACAAGTTTGTGTGTTAACTATACAATTTATAATGTCATCTTTCATCAATCATGCAATATATATACTCCAATATTTATTTTTATTTTTTTCTTCTTAAAATAAAAATCAAGTTCAACAGTTATACTATACATGTATTAATTTGTTTTTTTTTTCTGATGTTGCAATTTCAAAAAAACAAACTACCATGTGAGAAATCTAATCCATATGTAGGATTATCAATCGATTGATTTTTCTGGCTCCTTGAAACCCAACCAAATTTAACTGACTATATCAGTTCTGATTCTGTGATTTTGTCCTGATAAATTTTAATTTATTAATCGATACAGCTTTGGGATTATGATTTTGCCCTAATTAATAATTGGTTTGGGAATGGGACCACCCTATCCCAACTAAGACCCGACCCATTGACAGTCTTGTTCAAATGCTTTCTTTTCTCCCAACTCGACTGATACCTAACCTCAAGAGCAAGGATTTTAAAACCGGACAGGACAGGGAATCGTTCTAGGGACCGGTTCCTAGGTTGAATAGTCTGACTGTCCGGTTTGAATGGATAACCTGTTCTGACTTAAAAATAAATAAAAATTGATAAAAACCATTGTTTGAGTTGATGATTCGATGATTCAACTGCTCGAATCAGTTGGCAAAAAAGTGGGTTTAGGGTGAAACGAAACTGGTTACCTGACCAGTTCCAAGTTTTTTGGTCCAACCATCCAGTCTGATTCAGTTTTGAAAATCATGCTCAAGAGTGAAAGACCATGCATCCAAATATTGTGTATAGTTTTAATTTAAAGAAATATTGGAAAATATAATGCACATTTATAAAAAAAAAAAGAGCAACAAGTCTTCCATCTTTTACACATACAAGGACAGCTTCTACTTAATTAGTTTTATTTGAAAAAAAGTACAATCGAAAAAAAGTACTTAAATTTCATATTTGCAATGTGTTCTACGAAAAACGAAAATAAAAGGGAACCTCTTGCTTGAACAAACTTCTAAGAAACCAAGGACGTTAAATATTAAACCCTTAAGAAACAAACTTGTTAGTTGAAATTGTTTCAAAACAATTAATATATAATTTATTTATCAAGTATGGGTTTGACTTGTAAGGCTTGTTATTTACTGATTACTCCACTTCATTGACTTTTTTCCTAGTTGAAATTTAGACTTTATTATTTATTAACTAATTAGCATCTATATATATTTGTAGCCTTGTAGGTTTTACTAATTATTAGTATTTGGTCAAAAAAATCAGAAGTCTCTCTCTCTCCCCCTAAAAAAAACATCTATTCCATTAAAAACCTATCTATTTTAACTGTCGTTTATCTTAATTGTCTTGGAGGTTGATATATATTACAGATAAATTCCCAATATTATTGCAGATCATGCCAAATTGCAATGTAGATCTTCTACCCACGAATGATAAAGTATAAATACTGAGATGTTCTGAATGTGCGATTGATGTAGTGATGCATGGAGGATAGGATTCTTGTGGGGAGGAGATCTAAACACGCCATATATAGGCTATGAACAAGTAACCACATCTAAAATCTATAGCATATGAAATGTTTCTCCATGCATGCTGATCAGAACTTTTTTTAAAGGGTATTTGGTTGACCCAAATTCTCAAGTTCTTCATCACACCTCCACCTCCCTCCCGAAAAGAAAATGGACAAAGGCTACTTTATTAATGCATTAATTAAAGCTGTCCCTATATATTAAGCATGCCTCAACCTATGGGAACTAGCCAGCTCTTACATTATGTAGTGAGAGTTTCATCTTTAGGGTTTCCCCCACCCTATTCACCTTGTTTGTTAATTTCCTTCAATCATGAACTCAAGATAGAGCCTTCACGTTCATACTTTTAATTTTCCAACCAACCACCTTAGTTCGAGCACACTTGTTCAATTGTCCAAACCTAGCAACTCTACATGAAGGTGGCCGGGCCCCTCTCATCTTTCTTTCATGTTTTTTACTTTCAACCTCAAGTGGGCCACATCAGTGGCAAATTAAAGTGAACAAAAAGTTTTCCTTTGGATTTGGGTCTATAATTATATTTTAGGCCATGTTCTTTTTTCGGAAATATATTTACCTGGGTAAGTGTTTTCTAGGTAACACTTCCTTGGGTAAGTGTACTTACCCATGATTTATTTTTGTTTAATTTATTCAGGTAAATAACATTACTTACTTTCCCATGTTCTTTTGTAACACCCACTTTCCTGGATAAGTTGTTATTTTGTTCATATTTTGCTAATTTTACCCTTTCACCATTAGTTTTTCTAAAAGGGGAAAGAACATTTTTTAGTATATGTGAACCATTCAAATTTTTCTAGATGAGAATCACTCAAAATTTATGACGTCTAGGTATGGCATATCTGGATAAAGATCTACTTCTTTTGCAAATTTTTACCATTATCTTGCTATTAGTTATAGTTGAAACTATTGGTTAGAATCTGATTGAACAACATATTTCGAGTTTGGGATAATAGCATTCACATCATTCTCACAAACGTTAAAACAATCTCTGCATTCAACGGTTAGAATCTAACTGAACAATAGGCTCTAGGTGGATATGGTTATTGCACATCATCTCTCTTGCACAACAGTTCTGCAGATATGCTCCAAAATGACTATTGGATATGATTACTGCACATCTCTCATACCCTATGCATATCTATGGCAAATTGAACAAGAATCATTTAAATATGAGAATCTAAACCATATATTTGCATATGTATAGAACACTCATGCATACAATATCTGAGAAGGAAATCAAACATGACTAGCATGGTCAAATGAAAAACATAAACAAGCATTATGACATTGCTTCATGTTGGCATTAGCCTCTTTTTTTTTCCTCTTTTTCAGGTTGTACTTTTTTTATTTTTTTATCATTTTATCTCTAATCTCTTCTAGGGGCCATTGCTTGGTTTAGTAGTAAAATCTCATGCTAGCAACTATGAAAATGCAGCTTTGAGTCTAAGAGCAGCCTCTTCGTGCCGCGGCAATGGCATGTAAGAGGATCAGCGGCGGCAAGAACAATGAAGATGATGAAACAGTAGAAGTGGAGAAACTCTCAAACAGGTGAAGCCTTATGTTTTGGGGGCAACTTTGTCATTTTCATGTTTATTGTATTTACCTTCCACTTGGGAAGAAATAAAATTTATTGTGGGTCCCACTTGTTTTTGAAATCCGAACATGGGAAAGCTACCAACTTTC